GTTTTTACTGTAACAGCTTTTATCTTAACGTCCCTCATGTCACAAAAAGAAGTAACTCCTTATTTTCACATATGTGGTATACTGTACATGGTACAGGCTGAAGCTCATTGTGTACCTGCTTTTTAGAAATGAATAAATTCATAACAATAATAATTAAAAAAACGATAATAACTCAATTTTGCTTTAGTGAGTGACTGATCTGTTGGCAAATCCAGTAACCTGAGGATATCACCCTCAATATTACCACCAGAATGCAACAACACCATCAAAACACATAAAGGGAACAAAACAAAAGGTCACACTTCATTATGGTTTTTTAATAATGGAAACATTAAAGAATATAATGACTCAGCTTAAACAGCACAAATGTTGCCTACACATGTGATACTATAGGACAAAACAACCAACCTGCAGGGACAGTTTGGTTGTGTCCCCACAGACTGCAGAAACACCTGTGGATCAATTCACAGGTGTACATAAAAGATGGACAAAGCTTCTGGACAGAGCATTAAACCTGCAGTCTTTTTAATGGCCAGCAGGGGGCGATTAATGCCGTTTTAATCAGAAGTCCGACTGTGGCCCATAGCTATCTATGAGAAAATGACACTTTAGTTCACTGATTTACGAGTAAAGCAAATGTTTTCCTGGTGAGATTATGGTCTCAATCACTCGTGTCGAGTCTTCATTAACGCAGCACAAAGCTCATTTTGTACAATACAATCCCATTTTGCCATCAGTACAAGAAGCAAAGCTTCAGGGTGAGAATTTGACTTCTGATTAAAACAAAAATTAGACAGCAACAGACAAAAACTGAGCCCAGGTCTTTGAACCTGTGTGTACACAGCCTCTGCACACTCTGTCATTTCCATGATTCCCAGTCAGTCTGTGCAACGAGCCGTGCAATGATTACAGATAGCAGAGAACCTGTCTAGATTTCCCTCCAGGGTGTAAAAAGGATGAAGGAAAACCTTCATGCCCACTGTGGGCTCACTAAGAGGAAACAGTGGAGCAGTTCCATTTCTCCTGAGGGACTAATCAACTGATCTACAACAGCACATCCAAATAAATGTAAATACATGGGAATACATGAAAATCCAAATGATAGCGGAGACGACTTCTGATAAGACAACTGAAGGACGGATAAGATAAGAAGAGATAAGCAGAGACAGACGGGGGCAGTTAGAGATGCTGCATCTGCTGCTCAGCCTGAATTCTGCAGTGATTTCCATCTTGTTGCCATGAGCAATAGCAGCAGCAGCCGGCTGGACACGACAGCCAACGGCCTCCCGCTCCTCTCCACCCCTCCACCTTTCTCCCAATCACCATCTGCCCTCCACCTCCTTCTCTCCGATTTTCCTCTACTCCCCATCATCAGAGTATTTGAACTTGCTGTAATTTTCCCCAAATTACAATCCGTACTCGCCTTGGTTGAACACAGCTTCCATCTATTCCTCTAATTTCACCCCTCTTCTATCCATGTGTCTCCATTAATCTAGAAATGCAGGGAATAAGGGTGAAGCTGGGAATATCGATAGGACCAAGAGTTCATTTCAATAAATCACAGCTATCAGAGCAGGATCACTGCAGCTTCCATTAAAGATTAAAACCAACATGAAAGCTGTTCTTCCTGATTCTTTATAATGCTCCTCATCACACATCATTTCATTTAGTAAGATTTACAATGATAACAATAAAATAACGCATTAACACACTAGGTCCTAATGACTATTAGGCTTATACGTTTGGCATTAGTTCAACCACAAAACAATTTCCTTTTTTCCATGCTCGTTTTATTTTTGGACATGTTACAGAGGTTTGGAGAAAACCTGTATATCCCATGTTAAATGCATTTGTCTTTATCAGTGAGTCACATGACGCACAGAAACATGACCTCAACAATAAAAACGAGTCTTAAACCTCAAACAGAGCCATTGTGTGGGTGTGGGGAAAAAATAGAACAACCCGAAGATGTGCTAAGCTAGTTCTACCAACAAATGCTTTTATTTCATTCAATTTAAGTTTAGAGATATATTTCAAAAACAAAAATAACTTAATGTGATGTATTTGATGCTACAGCCACATTGGGGAAAGCAGCGGCTGCAGACCAGGCGCTGCCTGACGGGGCCACAGAGCCTAGCTGTGATAATTATCATCACCTGTCAGAAAGACACCGTGTTAATATATGTTCAGTATAAAATATATGAAACCAGCTGTGGATGCTGAAGTCTGAGGTTGCGAGGCGGGGCTCTACAAACCTAACTGCCCCAACAGTTACCAATAATTCAACATGTAGCTCCAGGTGTACACGCATGCGCGCGCGCGCGCGCACACACACACACACACACACACACACACACACACACACACACACAGGTACAGAGTGCCTGAATCATCAAGACAGTGACTGATCGTTTCCTCTGCTACTGTTGTCATTATGACAGCGAGTCGCCTCAACAGGAAGCTGGCCGGCATCCAGCCCTAAGGATGCATAAATACACACAGACACACACAGAACTGTGCAAAAGTCTTGAACCAACTTTCAAATGGGAAGTGGATTATTAAGTGCAAACATGAAGGCAAGAACCGAGTTTGTAGAATTCTAACAACCTTACGTGCGGTACTTTAGCATTCATAATTTCATCCCGTTTTGAAAATCTCCAACACCACTAGATTAAACGCAGCCCCATCATGACACAGCCTCCACCGCATTTTACACACGCTGTAGACCATCATGGCCACGCCTCTCTCCTGACCTAAAGTAGTCTGGCTCACTGGAAGCAAAATATAAATAAATCGCTGGACTCGAGACTTTTGAACAGAGATGGATCTCCTCAGAACGACAACAATAAAGAGTCGTGCTGAACAAGAAAACTAGAAAGCATGGTATACACACACAATCTCACAAACATGCCCATAAAGGCCGCCTCCTTCACTTAATCAATCCAGGAAGCAACCACCATTGATGTTACAGTCCAGTGATCATGAAGACAGCAGCCTCTGATCATTTGTCAATAGCAGAAAAGTAAAAATCAATAGAAAGCGTGCAGCCAGCTTCAAAAACAGCAGCACAGAATACTGGGACCTCCTGCAGTTTGTTGACTGAGGAAGAATAAATCTGAAGCTTCAGGATGCTTTTATTTCTCCGGCTCTTTTCCTAAGTTTGCAGTCAGACTTGTTGCTGTTTAAGCTGCTGAGGACTTTACATTCTGCTGACACTTCAGAGATACTTCAGTGGTTGATGAGTAAAACAAGAACAACCAAAGTGTTGACGAACTTAATCACCAATCAGACTTTAACAAACATCTCTAGGAGTTCTCACACAGACACCTTGATGGTCGCCCTCTGGAGCAGCTGTGTGTCAGCTGAATGCTTCCTGAGAGCAGTAATGAAGGCTGTGTGCGTGGGAGTGTTTCCACTTTCAGCTCAGCTCTTTCTGTGATTCCTCTCCATCTTCTCTCCCTTTTTTCCTCTCATCTCTGTGCAAGCATAAGCAGATTCATAAAGCCCCGGGAAATGTTTCGCTTCCTCTCTTTCGCTCTTCTTTAAAGCACTTTAGTGGTCTCGCAGCGGCCCACTCGTCTGCTGTGAACCTGGACTCTCGCTCTCGGCTCCTCTTTTAGTTGTTGCTGGACAAAAACTTTTGGCTAAGCAGTTTTTAGCTTTCATGCTCCGAGCTGCTGAGAAAGTGTGAGTCTTTAACTATGTTTAAAGAAAACCTACGACCTCTCAGGGCCCTGTCCTGGTCCCAGCTCCCCGCCTTTCATCCATTTTTATTTGATTTATTTAAAAACAATGCAGCTCTTCTTTATATTCCAAGTGTTGCTGCGGCTTTTACATCACTAGCCTTTTGCTCTTCTCTGTGGACTCTGTGCCGGACACCTCTGCGTCTAAAATAATAACCCACTAAGCACGGATGCATTTCATATATAACAACAACATTTTGACTGAAAAACCAGGCTTCTCCTGTTTGATTCCTATTGGCTGACAAACAGCCAATAAATAAAGTAAGATTTTATTGTCCTCTTGGAAATTTCATTTGTGTTCTTGTGGTAACTGTCAGGTAAACGCAACCGAGAAGGCATCACAACACACTAACAACAGAATGCTCCATAACAACAGCAGCAACAACAATAAGAATCAAAGCTCATGCAGCATTACAAGCAACACACACACACACACACACACGTCATATCGCCTGGATTTCTTGGACCAACATATGCTCAAAGGTGAAAGATCTCCAGGTAGGAAAGTTCACAAAGGCGGCTTTAAACCTTCGTCCTGATGAGAGAAACTCGTGTCACCATGAAAAGGTTGCAATACGTCACTCTCCACTCCATAAATAAAGCTGAGGATACAACACGCCACTGTGGGGCCTCAGTAATAATGAAAGTAGATGAGAACACGGCGTTTAATCCAACCCAAAGGATTCATCTGATGCTCATGCTGTGCACCTTCAGTTGTATAACCACTGCATAAGGATGCGTCTTCTTGTAGCTAAATGCAAATGAAAAGTCCAGAAACAGCACGTGCACATTTAAGATTGAAATCTCTTTTTCAGGACAGACCTGACCAAGAGGCACAGCAGAAATTACAAACACAACACATAATATGATAGTAAGCATCACTTGGTCCAGATGACCGTACATATAAAACAGCATCCACTGCACTCGTCTCTCTTTTATATGCAACAAGCCAAAGCTGCTGCTGTCAGTCCTTCTACAAGCACACCCTGTTCCCTGCAGGTTATATCTGCACTGTGCTCTCTAACAACATTATGGTTTGATTAAAGGCCCCAAAGAGCCACAATGATGAATGTCAGAGAACTGAACAAATAGCTAATGGATACGGTAAGAAATACGACCAGTACTCTTACCGACATCTTTACTACGATAACCAGCAGCTGCACCTTGATTCTTTAAGTACTATCCTCCTGACAGTGTGCCTGCTACCAGGACCAGGACTTTGGTCCCCATAAGGGCTGCACCTCGTCCCCATCTTACCTCGGCTGTTAGTTGCCAGGTCGGCCACCTTCTGAAAGGCATCCAGGAAGGCTGCTACAGCGACAACCGTCGTCCTGGAAGACACAAAACAGGAAGTAGAAACACAGAAAAAGACGTTTCTATTCATTATTTCTTTCTTGCTGGCTTTTTAATTTTTTATTGGAAAAAAATTATGTTAAACTCATTTGATTTGTTCTTTGTGTTTTTAATATCATGTCATCACTCAGCTGATCTGTAGCAACAAAGCTCCCCGTCTTTCTAAATTCAAATCAGGCGCAGCACTTTGAACTCAAGTAATCAGTCTTAAAATGCGACATATGCTCTGACTCATCATCAGGGAGAGAAACTATTTCAAATGTGCAAATTCATAATTCTGCACCTTTGAAACACTGAGACAATCCCCCCACAGAATAGATGCAGGGTGAGGAAGAGGACGAAGGATCGAGTCATTAGCAATCAGCTTTGACCTCTGATGACCTCTGTCCCAGGACAGAATCTCTGGAGGCTCAGTGCCGATCCATCTCGCTGATAATGACTTTATGGTGGCATCATTAATCTCTGTCAGCCACAGAAGGTTAATTGAGTTGTTTGTGTGTGTGTGTGTGTGTGTGTGTGTGTGTGTGTGTGTGTGTGTGTGTGTGTGTGTGTGTGTGTGTGTGTACACAGTGTATGTGAAGGCAGTCATTGCTGGTTGGTTAATGGCTGAAAAGTGTAAGTGAGTAAACATGTACGTGTGGAGACTTTGTCAAGGCTCAAGTGTGTGGTTTTTGTGGTCTGTGTGTGTACATGTTTCTATTGATGGTGGCAACCTTCAGCCGTGCGTGCGTGTCAGGACGTCAGGGATGAGGTGACAGGAGAGGTGAGCCTGACATTTAGACACCTAATGAAGCAGACTGATTGGATGTTCAGGAGCTCAGGTTATGCACACTCTCAGGATGTGGGTACGCTTCCTTTTATCTTAAGGTTAAAACAGCAATGAATATGATTCTCTATGTATAAATAATCAATATAAAACAGCTCAATAAGGATACAGAGACCCAAAAGTTTTGCATTTCTGAAACTAAATAACCTTCTTCATAAACCAATGAGAAGCCACAGTTTGGTGCTACTGGACCGATTCTGAGAAAGTTCGTGTAAATGCTCTCAGAGCAACACAACAAGAGCAACTTCTGCACTGAACACAATCGCTGTTTTCAGGAAGCTGATCAAACACGTTGAACAGATAAGATAGTGACACATTCATCAGTACTCTGCACTTTATTGCATGATTGCATGAATTGAGACTTGCATGTTTTGCAGGATTTCCTGCTTTATTTTTTACTTTTTGTCTCTGGTGCGTTTTTTGTATATTTGTGTTTTCTTCACTTGTTCGCTTGCGTGTTATTTTCAGTTCTTTGATGCTGTCGTTACAGGAGCCAGGCTGGAGAAAACCCTTCAATCTCCTGCTGTGTGTCACCCCGTCTCCTGTCATTGCTCGGCTCCTGTGTGATCTGCGTCTCTGAGTTCTAGGTGCCGTCTCTGATGACAGACTCGGGGCGTCTGAAGATGTGGGCCGGGCCTATGCCAGTGGCTCAACCTCTCGCTCTTCTTTTCCCCTCAAGTAAGTCATTTTTAAACCCTTTATTTGGTCTTTTGTAAATAAACATGTTACGACATGTAATAAGCATTTTTACCTTAGCTGTGACTGTAGTTTGCTGGCCTTGCTGATGAAGTCATCCCAGACGGGGTAACTGCCCTGAAGGAAAAAGAAAGAAAATTATGAGGAAAATATCAAATAATCCACAGTTTTATATCAGTGAAAGCAAAAAATGTGGGGAAGATTTTTTGTCTTACATTTTGCAGCTTTAATCTAAAAAAAAAAATGAAGCTTTGACAAAAGAAACGCATTCAATTAAGACAAATCAGCACTTAAAGCCAGAGACAGCAGTGCTATAAACCCAACGTATCAGGTCAGTGTGTCAATAGAAATGATGGGGATGAGATTAATGAGATCTCTATTGCAGACATACTCATTATCATACAGTTGTTCTTCACCCAAAGGTCCCACAGTCTGGGTTATCTGTTAAATATAAATATACAGATAACTCAACCAAACTCAAAACCCACGCACGCCTCTTCAGGCTCCAAACACATAAATCCTGAGAATCAGACACAGCAGTTAACAAACAGACAACAAGGAGACAGATCAATACAACCGATCCATATCTCCCTCCAACCACCCACCCATCTAGGAGGAGGCCAAACAAGCGCCCCCAGGCATGCAAATACAGTAGGTCTGCTGCCTGGGTGTAGCAGGACTGAGCAGCCAGTCGCTGCGACGGATGCGTGTTCAGAAAGTAGGCCGCATGGAGGGAAACACCGAGCCACTGCAGCCAACCACAGCGAGACAAACCAGGCTACGCTTCTAATGTCAGGAGGAGTCTCCTGATGCCTTCAGGACGGGTGGAGCTTCTTTCTTTTTAAACTGCAGCGACAGATCTGAGCCGTCTTCCCTCACAGGGTTTGGTTGTCTAGACAGAATACTGTCACCAAATTTCAAAATCCTACTGATATATTATGTTGTGATGCTTTATCATTGCATAGTGCATTATTAGTATCACAATGTAGTAAAATATACAAGAAAGGTATGCACACACCTTCAGCCACTAAGCTTTTATCCCAGACTTCATTAAAGTGTCGGGCGACCTGAACCCATACAAAACGTATTTGGTTCTTTCACTATTTTTGATTGCACTAACCCGAAGGATCTCCACAGGGGAACACTGCAGTCCAAAATACAGCAAAACTACCAACAATGTAAACTCTATTCTCATTTTTTGAATTTCATTTTATAGATTTGGTACATTTGACTCAATGGTTCATGTGTCTTGTGTTTTTACAGACTGCTTCTATCTGACCTCCATCATTAGGAAGGCAACACAAGGCTTTAAGACGGTGTCGCTTACTTCTGCACAGGAAGTGGTCCGAATGAGCCAAAACGTCCAATAACTCACTAAACGAATGCACGGCACAGGAGCCGTACATAAAGACCGTGAACGTTTCCACCCTGTGATCCTGTGGAGAGCCGGCACGCCTCCACCTCTCGGCTGCACTTTGTGGGTGCTGCCCCCCCCCCCTCCTTTTTTTGCTCCCACTGCTCTTCTCACGGTGCAGCTGAGCTGGGTGTGTTCAGCCTTCCTCTGATTGTGAGAGAGATGCCGAGCGTCATTGCCTGGATTACATTACCATGGCAACCCTGCTGCCGGAGCACCGGTGGCTGCAGAGGGGCTTCACACAGAGAAGGATGTGTGTGAGGAGGGGAGGATCACATGTGCGTGCATCCTCACCCAATCTCACACACAGTTTCTGTGTCACATGTTTGTTTTCTTTGTTTCCTTTCATCCATATTCAACACCTGCATATTTCCTCCCTTTCTCCCCCTCTTCCTCACCCCCCCCCCTCCTCACACACACATTTATCATATGCACTGTCATGTCCTCTTCCAGCTCTTTCCTACTCATTCATCCTTTCCTCTCTCTAATGCTGTGCACGCACACACGCCCACACCTCATTGCATTCTCTCTATCTCCTCTTGGACACACAGGCGAGGCCAGGGTCGCTGCATCCATCAGTCACTGACGACATAAATTGTCACCGTGGCAACAACCAAAGGTGGCAGCAGCATGCTGGTCCTTCAGGAATCCATCCCTCTGTTTTTTGTATGGCTCTGTGAACACCTGCAAGAGCTTCAAACCATACAATCCTTGCTTGAGTCTTTCTGCTTCTTTAATGTTTCTGTGTAAGGACTGCTACCTCGTCCACAGAGATCACTCACAATTTAAACTGGGGACATCATACAGGCGAAATATCAGGCAGGTAGATGACAGAAAACACAAGGTTGCTTCACCTAATAGATATTTCTTTATGCTGAAAGCTAGATAAACATCGATCCGCCCAACAGACCTATCAAACTGTGAACCTGAGGGACGTTGCGCGCTTATTGGCTAAAGACTTAAATTTCAAGCTATTAGCTACTGAGAATAAGCTGGTTTTTCCCCAGTTCTGAATCTATGTTTCTTCAAAAACAGGTGGAATTAATGCTCATCAGCCTGATTGCTGAGGTCATAAATCAAGTGAGAGCTCAGTTAATTTATCCATAGATGTCTACACAACAACTCCCAGATATCTTTCTGTATCTGGGAGTTGTCCTAAACCGGCTATTACAAAAAAAAAATAAATAAAAAAAATGTAAAAAAAAAAATAAAAAAATAAAAAATGGAGGTTTAAGGTGTTTATGTCAAATTGGAAGTTATGCCCATCCTTCACATACAGACTGCACAAAATGTTAATCGCAACTTTAATTCAGTCTCTGCAACACACGCTGCAGGTGACTGAGTTCTTTCTGATGACACTACTGCAAAATTACCTCAGACATGTTTCTCTGCATTTATATCATTTTATACAGGCACAAACTGGACAACCAACCAATCTTCCACAACATGTCTTTGGCTGCATCCCAATTCAGGGTCTGCAGCCTTAAAGGCCGCATTTCAAGGCCGATTACGTCACAGCGGCGCGCCGAACGCTGTCCCAATTCAAAGGCTGCTCGAAATGCGGCCCTCAAATGCGTCCTTCATTTCACTTCATGGTCCAACATATCCCAGAATGCATAGCGCGGCGGTGGGTGTGGATAATTTTGCCTGAAAAAAAACGGCGGATGAGGGGCGGCCGAAGAGTAAACTTTAAGTACTGAATATTATGTCACTTATTTATGTGCAAATGTTTAATAACGAAGAACATTAAACATTCCTGTTGGCCACATGTCTGCAAAGTCATGTGACATTAGTGACGTTTGTACTAACTTGGTTTTAAAGCCTTTACTTTAAAATATACGCCGTTCAATAGCTGAGCTTAATCTTACAGAGAATGATCAAAGCTCATGTAGAAACAAACAAATGAACAAAAGATTTTCTCCTTCATTTCTGTCAAACACAGCTGTATGACACGTTTCCAGCTGTTAGTATCATGGTTGCTAGGCAACCTGGGCAGCGCAACAGAGGCTAGACCGTCCCATTTCACAAGCCTCGCACTTCCGGCCTTAGCGGTCTTTGAGTACGCGGCCCTGGTGGACCATTAAGGCTGCGTACTTTAAGGCTGCAGACCCTGAATTGGGATACAGCCTTTATCTTGTCTTCCTTCTCTCTCCCCAACCAATCACAGCAGATGGCCCCGCCCCTCCCTGAGCCTGGTTCTGCTGGAGGTTTCTTCCTGTTAAAAGGGAGTTTTTCCTTCCCACTGTTGCCAAAGTGCTGCTCATAGGGGGTCATATGATTGTTGGGTTTTTCTCTGAATGTATTATTGTAGGACCTACCTTACAATATAAAGCGCCTTGAGGAGACTCTTGTTATGATTTGGTGCTGTATGAATAAAACTGAATTGAATACTGTATGGTGGATATGTCAGCCCTAATTTCCTTTGTTAACGTTACGCTGGCAGGTGGTAGCAGATTTGCATCTGCACACAATATATGTGCCACACTGATTCGATCTTCTTCAAGTCTCCGAAAAATACAAAAGCAAATGAGTGTCTTTCATTTCTGTGTTACAGGATAAGCACAAAGGGTGCTGCTACTGCTGTTTATATGTTTTTATTATGCTGATTTTCAGTAGTAGTACCTACATTTAATTAAATCAGATGCCAGCCAAGAGTTCACTCCCCACGAGTCAATGTCAGCACCACTACAATAAAACAAAGTGACCCATTTGGCCAGAGAACCAAAGTCAATGCTGCAGCTTTGTTCGTGATGTTTCCATGACAATCCTGACTCACAGACCAGTCTAACCAGCAGCCCGCTGCAGAAAGAGACCAGGCTTATTATAGGTCTGAGGTGATTAAGGCTTCAGTTCAAGACAAATGGCAATTAGCATCAAGCGAATGTGCTCATGTCCATTACTTACACTCCCTCTCTCACACATGAAAGCCTTGTTGTTTAGTAGCAAAAAACACTTTACACACTGATGTCATCACAACATTAATGTTCAGTCTTAGTTTATCTGAGGTTGCTGGGTGGAGAGAGTTGTGTCTACTTGCTAATCAGTGCGTGTGTGCGTTTGTGTATGCGAACGACTGTCTTAAAGGTTTTGCTTCTTAAAGTTTATATAACTGAGTAATCAGCCCAATGAATTTCAACTCCATCGCCCTGGACTGCAGCGGGTCCAACCTCCGTGATCACGGGATAGAAGCACACTCCTCACCTGCTGCTGGTTCTGGTGTAATCGTTCACGGGACATCTTTCGAACAGGAGTACTACCTCATATATCTTTGGTGAACAAATATACACACATGCACACCAAACTTGGGGTGACTCAGGAATGGGTCGTCTACCAACTGGAAAGTCAATGGATTAATCCCAGATTCCTCAAGTCCGCATGCTGAAATACCCTCAGGAAAGATACTGAAGCTCAAGTTGCTCCTAATGAATTGCTTGCAGTGTGAATGTTAGAAATCATGTTAGATCAAAGCACTGAATGAATGTGTGTGTGACTGGGTGAGCGCTCGGCTGAGTAGAAAAGTGCCACGCAGGTACCAAACCAAACGACCAACCACCTCTGTTTCAACCCGATTAAAGGTCACTGAGTCAGGACTGATTTGGGAACCACAGGGGGTGGGCAGCATGCACAGGTCACCAGGTCGCTGACTTCTTCTATAACATACAATGCCAAAATGAATCGACCATTTTCCACCTGATAAAACCGA